TCTTCCAACTCTTTAAGATGGTTGGCCACATATGCACTTGTGTTGAAATTAGGAGAATGACAACTTTCACTGTGCTGCTGCCTACAATTAATCCCATTTAGTGTTTCCCCATGTAGTGTTCAACACCTATAACTTTGATCGATTCCAAATTCTTCCAAATGGTCTTCAAGTTTTTTGTGGAGAAATATGCCTCATAGAATTACCCTTTAAATAGGGACAAATAATTTTTTCCAAATCTTTGGCATGCTCACGTCCAAAGTTAATGAATTCTTGAACCCCTTCCAAGTATCCTTGAGATGTACGTCCATCTCTTATCTATAATGTCAATCTAGTGTTAATCATTTAGAAAGGAAAAGTGATCAGTGAATCAATACCAATTAGGACAATTAAAGCGAGATAGAATCAATGTTCGAGTCACATGATATTACATATTATCCGCCTCTAATTGTAAGACCATCACTACTAGAAAAAGTGAAATTAGTGACAGACAAATTCATTACTAATTAGCAAAATCTGTCACTAATTTTAGCTTTAGTAATTGATCGTTGGTCACTAATTTTCATTACAAATATGGTGTTATCAATTTAGTGATAGACACAAATTAGTCATTAATTCAATGATGAAAAATATCTATCACTAATTAATAAATTTTTGTCACTAATTTATTTGATAATTAAAATTTTTTTTATAAGTCCAAACACTGCCATCCCTATGCACGTCTCAAGTGTACTTCACCCTCCCACCCACAACATCATCGTCACTTGGATGTCTCAAGTGTACATCATCCCCACCACCCACCACATCATTGTCACTTGGATCTCTATGCCACATTATCACCATGTGACAACAATTTATTTTAATTCTCTTTACTTTTGACATTACCTCATCTCAAATCCAAGATCTTACTTTTTTCATCCACATCTTTTGCCAGTTGAGTTGTAATGACTTTTCATTCTTAATATGCAAAACTACATATATATATATATATATATATTACTTAATTAAATGCATATATTTAATATATTTAATATATTATTATTTAAATATGTTGATAGTATCTATAAATTTATATATACATTAACGCATATAAATATATAAATTAGTATATATTATTAGTTAATATATATTATTTAATATCAATATATATATATATATTGAAAATAAATATTTTTATATCATTTTATATTATCTATGTTATAATTAAAATATTTTTATATGATAATAACTTTATTTTTATATTAAAATTACATAATAAAAGTTATTTTTTTCTATATTATTTTATATTATATATTTAACTTATAATAAGAGAAAAATATTTGTGTAATTATTTAATTTGGAAATTATTAAGATTTTATTCCTGTAATTCTCTCCATGTATATTATATTTTTTTATATAACATTTAAGCACATTTTAATAATTTTTTAATTAAAATGTCCATCACTAATCTGTCATTAATATAAAGATTTAATGGTAGCAATTAGTGACGGATTTAAATTATTCATTCAATTTATAAAATTTGACCAAAATGTGATGATTTTCTATATTTGTCACTAATTGTTCACTAATTTATGTAATTAGTGGTAGATTTCAATCTGTTACAAAATTTTCAGCACTAATACCTATAATTATTGACATATTGGAGATCTGTCACTAAATGTATGTCACTAATTTTAATTTTTCTAATAGGAATACTAGTACATTAAACATGATTTAAATCATGTTCCATTATACTTGAAAATTTTTTTAGCAACATAACAATTTAAAATCAGAATGCCCTAGGCTTTTTGCCCTCTCTTTATTTTAAAATAAAAATACTTCAAACTATGTAGAACACCAATTTTAAAAAAATGACAACATAACAGTACAAAAATGAATTTTTTCAAGCATAACAGTGCCATTTTTTCCAAAATAAATACAAAGCAATATCACATCATCATTTTCAAAAAATAAAATCTAAGACAGCAACTCATTTTTAAAAAAAATTGAGGCAACTAGGAAAAAAAACATCATCATTATTCCAAAACCAAGAACAAATTATTCATAGAACAACTCAATATAAAAAAAGCAATTAAAACCCTCTATAATTTAGAGCATTTCATTTTTTTCATATTAACCAACACCATTAGAGCATATACAATGTTTAAAGCAAGTAAATTCAAAATATAAATCAATAAAACTTAATAAAACAAGACTTCCAATGATTGAATATATCATTTTTATATTAAAAATAAAAGGAGAAATAGAGATGCACAACAATGGAGTTAGAGAAGAAGAACAGTCACATGTCATTATAACATTTTTATTATCTAAGAATAATTCAAAAGTATTGTTATAGGCTTGAAAAATGTTACCTAAAGTTATAGGCAAAGTATTGCTAACTTGAGAGTTGCCTATTACTTTAGGCAATAGTTTTCTTATTTTTGGCGACACCTATAAAATCATTGTCTAAAACTATGAGAATAATCAACAATTTTTGAGAGAACTATTGCAACACTTTTCAAGTGTTGCTTATCCCATAAAATAGATAATATTTAACAATTGTTGGAAAATAGTTAAATAGTCAAATTTAATATTTTCTTCTTCCATCGAGGTTCGAACCTTGAACCTATTAAAAGGAATGGATGACTCCAAGTACTCTTCTAACTTAACTTTTTGATATTGTAATGTAAAATATTATATATATAATTGTTAAATTAATTCTTTAATTTATCCATACTATGAATTGAAAAATTAAGAGAATAAATAAATAAAATTATAAAAATAAATTAAAAATAAATTTTTTGTGTAGAAAAATAATAATTAACAGTTCTTAAATGTTGCAAAAAAGAAGAACTATAGGCAATATTTACATTTTTGTTATCTATTAAAATAGAAAATATTTTTTAAATGTTGCCATAAAAGATCACTTAGAGGCAACAATTTTTACGTTGTTTATTCAAAAAATTTATTATAACACTTAAAAACTGTTGCCTATTTTATTTTAGGGAATAGTTTTCAAACTTTGCCAACTCTATGTTATTTGAAATAGGGGAACAATGGTAACACAAGAAAACTGTTGCCAATGCCCACATTAGGTACCATTTTTAGAACTGTTGTTTAGAGCAAAAAAATGTTATAGCGTGTACACTCCATACATAGAAAAAAAAAAACAAAACTCAATAAAAATGATATAGTAGGGAGATTAGGGAGAGAATCACAAACTTAATCAAGAAAAACTTGAAGAAGATGAAAGAAGAAAACCAACAGACCCCAATAAACTCCCAAATGCCGAAACTCAAAGAAACAAGATGAAACCATAATGACTAGTTTATGTTGAAAATTGGCTTTCGATCACAATGGGAGAGTTTTATGTTAAATGGAGAGGTTCCGTGAGAGGAGGAGAGTCTTTTAAGTTGTCCGAGTCGTACTATTCTGATGGCAAAGTACAGTTGAAAAGTTTTTTAAATAGAAATATTTAGCAATTATTTGCAAATAACCACTAAATAGTTCCTTATTTAGCAGTTATATCTTATGTTTAAATAATTATAAAATAATTAGACTATATAATGATTTTTTTTGTCAATAGACTATATAATGGTTATTGGAATTAATTGTTATATAGTCTTTGAGATTATATAGTGGTTATTTTAAAACAACTGTTATATAAACTTTGGGAGATTTTTTTTTTAAAAAAGACTGTTTTTAAATAACTGTTATAATATAGTTCCATAGACTATTTAACGGTTATTTTAGTTAACCATTATATATTCAAATGTGTCCAATCTTGCCTTCTTTATATAACAATTTTTTTCGTAACTATTATATAGAAGATGATATATATTACCTATTTTTCAGTAGCAGAGTTTGCGAGTGAGATTTTAAGGAAAGAGGAAGGTTTGACTGAGGAAATGGGAGAGTTGAATTTTAAAAGGGGAAGGGAAGACCAGTCTTTGGCCATAGGAATCGTAGGGTTCAAGGGATGAGAATTTGAAGTCTTATTGTTGACCACTTCCACGCGCAATTTAAAGCTTCCTGCTGATTGACCCTGGAACCTGGGGAAAATGAAGACCAAGGAGTATTCAAAATCACAAAACTCCCTACACGTTGGTACTACTTCTGCATTTCCGTGGTCAAAAATTGAGACAAGAAATTAGGTTTATTTATTTTCTTTACACTATTTTTGACAGCTAATAATGGAAAACTCTATTAAGCACGAAGTTAAATGATAGATCAGCTGAAAAAAAAAAAAACATCCAGGTGACAACAGTGTATTGGTGAAAAGTATATCAAGGACAAAAGTTTAAGTACATAAGTTTTGCCCTTATATTTAGATTTTATCCGTATCACAATATAAATTATTGTTAACTAATTTATATTTTTTTTAAATATTTGTTAAAATCTTTATTTTTAAAAACATTTTAGGATGACCTGATTTTTAAAAATTTTTCAAATCTTTCTAATTGTACCCTTAAGTAAAATGAATACAGGAACACTTGTGTTTAAAAGCACTCCCACAGATTACCTCTATAGGAGGGTTTCCTTTAGAGGAACCTGTAGAACGCTAGATACGGAACATATGAGATCGTTAGATACGGAACCTGGAGGCCTTTTTTTTTTTTTTTTGAAGTAGTGACATCCTTATTAATTACTTGAGTTGAATATAATAAAATATGGTATAATTGAATATATATATATATATATATATAACTTACCTAATGTCCTATATTTTGGATCAAGAGAGATTTCTATAAAATGCTCTATTTGTAGTCAAAAGGTATGTAAAGGAGACTATGAATTTGAATTATATGAAAATGTTGACTGATTCATCGTGTATGGAACGCTTCTTGCTTCTTTGACTATTTTTGCTGTTTTGAATCCATAAAATAATATCATGTCACATACTGGTCCATATGGAAACTTGCAAGAAAGATGGCAACATGTTAGTCAACCCTAGCTACAAATTTAAAATCCGATCTCCAATGAAACATTTGTATGTTTTTTCACATCCAAATAATCTAATAGAGCTGTGAGAAGTCTTGGGCTTTTAGATCCTTTTAAAAGGACAAGCTCAAGTTCAGAGAGTCTAATGTGATGAAGGCCATGAAACGTATTGTTGTGGGGTTCTTTGCCATGTGGTGGGTTACAAGGTGGAGCAGCTTGGCCATGGGAACAAACACAATGAAGTTCCCAGTCGGAGTGATTGTGGACGAAGGCACTTGGATTGGGAAATTAGGTTTGAGCTGCATCCACATGGCTCTTTCTGATTTCTATGCTTCCCACTCTCACTACAACACTAGGATCCATCTCACCATCAAGCATACTGATGCACATATGATTGCAGCTGCTTCAGCAGGTACTAATTCATTAGTCGGTTGCAAGTAGATTGTACTCCCTTCGGTCATATGACACATCAAAAAGCATTTTTTAATTATTATTATAAGACACACTAGGGAATATTAATTTCATTTTTTTGTCAAATTAATTACATTTTTTCATTAGTATAATATTTAAACTCATTGAGATATAATGCAAATTTAAAAAAAAAATTCATTTAAATAGGAGTAGAATTAAAAGGTTATTATATTATTAGGTAAATTTAATAACTTAACCATCTCCCCTTGGTTTTGGTGAGGTAGTTAAAGCTGCCTTAAAATAGAGATTGGAGGAAGTATGCTTATGTGGAGGAGAATGAATATGTACATAATATGTTGAGTTAATTGTTAGATTAATTGTCTATTAGGATATGGAAGCATATGTTCTAGGGGGAATTTCATTTAAGGACAATGATGTGACATATTTTTAAATTAAATCCAACACAATATGAAATTTCATTACAGGATATATATGTTGGGGCTGAATTGAAAAAAAAATTAAAACAAAATGACAAAAATATAATTCTTTTAGTATATATGTTGTAGCATAACAAGTAATACAAAGGAATAAATAAGTAAAATAAAGCTTTTAACAAAGCAATGTAATTGATAAACAATAGAAGTTCATCTGATGAGTTAAATCTGTTATTTGTTAAGCCATTTTCATAACTTATAAAATCAACTACATTACTTGGTAAAGGCTTTACTTTATTTGCTAATTGTCTTGTGTTATTTGTTATGTCTAATAAGTTGTGGTTAACTTGGTTACTGATCCTTTAAAAGCTTGTTAACTCCTTAACTTGTCCATTGAAGTCCATGCTGTGAATTAAATCTATTACTTGTTAAAAACTTTACTTCACTTATTAATTTCATTATGTTACTTATTATGTTGCAACATACTAGAAGAAGGATATTTTAGTCATTCTGTTTTAAAATTTTCTTTCAATTCAAGCCCAATATTTGGTAGTGAAATTTCATATTATGTTGTACTTGATTTGAAAATATGTAACATCATTAGTCCTTGGATGAAATTCTCCCTAATTTCTATCTTGAAAGGTTATGGATCTTGATATGTGTATTACATAACAAAGCTTATAAAAGAGGTCTATACAATAATGTCGTTTTGGACTGCTTAATAATGTGCATATCCTTGCTTTCAATGAATCTAAAAACAAATGACTAAGAAATTGATTTTTTGTATGTAGCTATAGATTTGATAAAAAATGTAGAGGTGCAAGCTATCATAGGGCCACAATACTCAACGCAAACTAGCTTTGTAATTGATGTTGGTAACAAAGCTGAGGTTCCCATCATATCATTTTCAACTACAAGCCCTTCTCTCAATAATCCTACTACTCCTTATTTTTTTCAAGTGGCACAGAATGAGGCAACTCAAGTGGCAGCTATTACAGCAATTGTCCAAGCTTTTGGATGGAACCAAGTGGTGCTAATCTATGAAGAAGGCTTATATGGGGAGGAAGTGATACCTCACATTATGAAAACCTTGCAAGATGCAAATGTTCATGTTCCCTATCAAATTGCAATTTCCCCATCAACAACTGACCAACAAATTATTAAAGAGCTGGCCAATTTAAGAATGATGTCCAACAGAGTTTTTATCATACATATGCCACCAATCCTAGGTTTACGTGTGTTTACCAAGGCAAGAGACATTGGAATGATAAGCCAAGGCTATGTTTGGATCATGACCACCTCAATGACTAATCTATTAGATTGGACAAATTCTTCTATCACCGACTTGATGCAAGGGGTTGTAGGTGTGGCTTCCTATTTTCCAAAATCCAAAGAGGTTCAAGATTTTGAAGTTCAGTGGAAACTAAAATTTCAAAAAGAGAATCCAAACATCATAGGAGCCCAATTGAATGTTTTGGGTTTGTGGGCCTATGATGCTGCAACGGCACTAGCCATAGCAGTGGAGAAGGCTAGGATTACCAAATTGAGTTTCCAAAGGAAAAATGTTTCTAAATCATGTAATACAACAGACTTTGAAACTATTAGGGTCTCTCAAAGTGGTTCAAAACTACAGGATGCACTTTCCAAAACTGCATTTAAAGGCCTTTCAGGGAAGTTCAATTTGGTCAATGGAGAAATGAATTCAAAAACTTTCCAAATAATCAACATAAATGGTGACGGAAAGAAAGTAGTAGGATTTTGGACCCCACATAATGGATTAGAAAGAGAACTGAGTCCTAAAAACATGAGCAAATATTCTACATCAAAAGCCAATCTTAAACAAATTATTTGGCCAGGGGATTCTCCCATTGCTCCTAAAGGGTGGGATGTAGGGGCAAATGGAAAGAGGCTGAAAGTAGGCATTCAAGTAAAAAGGGGATTCTTTGAATCTTTCAATATACACCATGATTCTGTTAATGATACTATGACTTTTAATGGCTACTGCATTGATATTTTCATAGCAGTCATGAGAGCATTACCATATAGTGTTCCTTTTGAATTTATCCCTTTCAACATACCTAATCTTGACCGTGACTATTTACGCCCTGGAGTATTCTATGATGATTTGATCCAGAAGGTTTATGTTGGGGTAAGACTCATTTAATCCTTCAAGCTTATAGTTCAAACATAAGTCCATTCCTAATCAAGTTTTTTTTTTTGACAAAAAAAAATAATAATAAACCTTCATTTTGTTTTTGCCTATACCAATTCATAGGAAATTGATGCAGTTGTAGGAGATTTGACTATTATGTTCGAGAGGTCTCAATATGTGGACTTCACATTGCCCTTTACTGAAGGTGGGGTAAATTTTCTTGTGCCAACTAAACAAAAGAACAAGGAAAAAGCTTGGCTCTTCTTAAAGCCCTTGACATGGGAATTATGGCTCGCCACTGGTTGCTTCTTTGTGTTCATTAGTTTTGTGGTTTGGGTGCTAGAACACCAAAACAACGAAGAATTCAGGGGTTCCCCCTCCAATCAAATTGGCAATAGCTTTTGGTTCTCCTTCTTAACCATGGATTTTGCCCAAAGTAATTTGCATCCCCTCATTTCATTAATGACAAGGTATATATATCATTTAAAAACTCAAATACTAAGTTCCTAACGTTCTTCATATTATAGGGGAGAAAATTCATAGCAACCTGGCTCGAGTTGTGGTGATCATATGGGCATTTGTGGTGCTCATACTAACACAAAGCTACACAGCTAGTTTTACAACGCTCTTGACTGTTCAACAACTCCAGCCGACCGTGATAGACATAAATCAACTCATACGGAGTAGGGAATCTATTGGGTACCAATTGGGTTCTTATACTTACAACATTTTAAAACAAATAGGCTTTGATGAAAGTAGGCTTCGGTCTTACAATTCTCCACAACAATGTGATCACCTTTTAACAATTGGAAGCCAACATGGGGGTATTGTTGCTGCTTTTGATAAAATCCCATATCTTAAAGCAATGGAAACAAGTTATTGCTCGAAATACACAATGATAGGACCTACCTATAATCATCCAGGGTTTGGTTTTGTAAGTTCTTGCCTTCCACACCATTGCCATTTACACTAAGATGATAAGATGAAGTAGTTGTTAAGATTTGTTAATTTGGATTGATTGCAGGCTTTCCGAAGAAATTCGCCTCTTGTAAATGATGTTTCAAGGGCTATATTGAACTTGACAGAGAAGAATGAAGGCGGGATGAAAGAAATTGAAAATGCATGGTTCGAGAATGCAAGTCATTGTAAGTGGCAGTCTGATGTGGAGGCAACCTACAGTCTCAATATTGATAGCTTTCGGGGACTATTCCTAATTGCAGTACTAGCTTCATCCTTAGCTCTCGTTGTTCACATAGCTATGTTCCTTATCGATAGCTGGAAACATTTGAATTGCTTTGATCCATCAGACCCTTTCTTCAAAAGAATTTGTGTCATGGTAAAAGTTTTCTACCATCACTACAACACAAACACTCCATTCCTAGCTGCTCCACAAACTACCACACATCAAGTACCCTAAGCCTCACTAAAATTGGGTGACTAAATAAATCTTGGATTAGTCTTCTTCTTCTAATCATAAATCTGGATCCTTCATATTGTATTTGTAGTTTTCTTTTTTATTTTATTCAACTACTACACATCAAGGCATCATTCGATACCTTATTTTTGTTTGGTTTTGTTTTCAAAAACTCACTACTATAAAAAGGGCCTACGAGAGTTCTTGTTTTTAGCCTTCAATAGTGTTTCTAAAGCACTCCTAAATATAGCACTCGTGTAAATGTGAGAGTGCTTTTCCAATAAGGTGATCTTACGAGAGCATTTCTACTACAGCACTTCAAAGTGCTCCTATTTTTTATCAGACAAAACATTGATGAAATGGTGCATCATGTTCATGTGAGAATTTCTCTGAAAAACAAAAGCACTAGTAACCTTTCTAGGATGGATATATTTTAAGACTGCCTATAAATAAAGAGATCCAAGTGTATATTTAAAGCTAGCAAGGCTTGTTTTTCCATCATTTTTAATTATTTCAATTTTTATTTCCATTTAGTAACTTTATGAATATTGAATACCATATTTTAATTTGTTTAGATATTTTAAGTAGTAATCCAAAATCCCAAATCAACTAAACTTTGATTGTCTAGTTCTTCTATTGGAATAATTTAAATATATATATATATATATATATTATGGATTTGCATTAATTAATTATTAAATCAAGAATATATTAACCTTTAATAACCTAGTGTGAATTGTGATTGGTGGATCAACAAGTGAGCTATTTGAGTTCTATGTGTTCAAACTACAAGTTATTAAAATTCAAACTACAATTTGTGAATATTATAAGAACAAATTGTCTAAGTTCAAAAGATTATTTAAAGAACCTTACTAATGCTAGTGGCCTTGTGCCACAATGGCACTGGTACTCCTCCTGTAATACGCAGGACATGCGTTCCAGCCTAGAGTGGGCAATTTGTGGAGGGTCCGTGAGTTTCCTTCACAGAGAAAAGGAACCTACATATGGGTAGGTGAGTGGGTATTATTCAGTAATTGTCTCCTACCCAAAAAAAAAAAAAAATCTTATTAAAATCCTAACTATAACTTCTCAGTGTTTGAAAAACAACTTGTTAAAAGTCATTACAACTTGTCAATATTTTAAAAACAAGTTGTTAGTATTCAAAGGCCACTTAAAAAAGCTTGTCAAGACCTGAACCACAACCTTTTAATATTTAAAGAATAATATATCAGAATTCGAACTATACCTTGTCAATATTCTATGAACAAGTTGTCAATATTTAAAGACTACTCAAAAACTTCCAACTTTTTTCTATAATATTGACAAGTTGCACTTTAAATAAATTTTAAGAAGCTGCGGTTCATATTTTTACCAAGTTAGGTAGGTAGTGTTTGAATATTGATAACTTGTTCTAAAATATTGACAAGTTACAATTCAAATTTTGAAGAGCTTTTCTTTAAAAATTGAGAAATTATTTTTTTTTACAAGTTTCTTTAAGTAATCTTTTGATATTAATAATTTTTCATTAGATTATTGATAACAAGTTCAAATTTTGACAAGATGTTACTTGATAAGTCTCTGAATTGACAATATTTCCTAGAATATTGATAAATCGTTTGAATTTTAACAACAGCATTATAGAAAATTTACAACTACTTTTATAGAATTAACAATTTTTATAAAAAGAAATTAACAATTTTTATAAAAAGAGTTTGAAAACTAGAATTAAAATATACATGTGTGTGTTATTTTGCACAATAAAAGTAAAGGGTATTCTCAGTTTAATGGTCATAAATGTTTTAGTAAATCAAATGGTCATATAGATTCAAACTCCCCTCCACAATTTCAGAAAATTTAACCTATCTCAGTGTTGGAGCTTTGGCCACCATTGGCAGTAGTCCGGTCACCATTGCCAACGATGGAGTTCGCAGCCAATTGGCAACAATAGTAGAGTGATAGACTTTCAAAATAAATAAATAAATAAATAAGCAGAGGGTATTTTATCCTTTCAGATGCAAACTTATTTTTAGTTTGGTCTTTAGGTCCTGTAAAATAATTTCAAAAGTTTTTCAGACTTTAATGCAAATAAATCTCTTTAAAGGGACTTTAATTTTGATTCAATTATAACTTAATATTTAAACTTTGACTTATTATAATTTAGTTCTTAAAGTTTTGATTTGATTGTAACTTAATTAAAAAACTTTGATTCTTGTAATTCAATCCTTATATTTTTAATCAGTTAAATATTGGTCTCTATTCTTAAAAAATAAAAATATAAAGATTAAAATTATCTTAAGATTTATTGCTAATAATTTAAATTAATAAGAAATTTTAATCTTTATAAATATTAGAAATTTAAAATATTTTTAATATTTATACTTTTATTTTTTAAAATATAGGGATCAATATTTAAGTAATTGAAATTATAGAGATTGAGTTATAAAAAGTAAAGTTCAAATACTGAATTACAGTTGAGTCAAAATTATAGAAATTAAATGATTAATTTTTTAAAAAAAATGGATTAAAGGATAAAAATATTCTAACCTGGCAACATCGCCATGGAACTGAACATCAGAACGGGGGAAGCAGATTATTGATGGAGAATTCTTGCTTTGGTTTTGGCTTTAGAATGGAGGAAGCAGGAGACAGCTTAGCATCAGAACTCTAGGCTTGTAAATAGAGCTCAAAACAGACTCGGTTGAGGCAATAATCTGCTTGTAATTGAGATGAACTCGGAATTGGGAATTGAATTTGAGAGGAATCGATTGGAATTCAACAGATTTTGTAATTGTCAAACTTCTTTTACCAGTAAACGTCCATTAAATTTAACGGTGAGGTAAATCGTGCTTTTTTTTAAAGTTTCAAAGCTACATGGCTCCAAAAAATAAGTTTAAAATACTACATGCTTCCACAAAAAAGTTTTTGAACATTTTTATCTTTTAACCCAAAGAAATTTGTAATGAACAGGAGCTAGTTTTTTTTTTTTTATTCTTTTTGTCTGTTGAAATAAGTGGATAGGAGCTAGTTGAATTTGTGTACGTAGATTAGGTAGAACTACTCTATTGTATAATAATTCTTAGGATCAGGCAACGGTGGGTACACTGGATCCTCTCTCGGTGTACTTGTACTTATCATCTCCTAAGATGATATTGGACTTTCATTTTAGCTCATATGATTTTTGCTATTGATTTTAAATTATTATTTTAACATTAAATATAGACTGTTTTCTTTGCTTATTAGGGGATAAACACTACATCACCCTGACGAGATCTGGACAACCTAAAATTAAATTTTCTTTTATTTGAATTTTATAGTTATTAAAATAGAAATATGTAAGAAAATATAATTTTTTTTGATAAATATGGTTATCACTAATCTCACTAGTACAAATTTAATCTATATGGCATATTTTAATACTAAATTATGCCATATAGATATAATTTGAATGGTTCGATTTAATATTAAAAATTTTTATTTTTTACAAATAAACCATCTAAATATGCCTTAAACAATTCAGATTTAATATTAAATTTTTTATAATTTTTATTTTGATAAATATAATATTAAAAATAGGTTAACATTAATGGTAGAAATTATTTGAGATGAAATGAAGGACCAAGATACTTTGTGAGTGTTGAGCACAGAATGCTCATCAATTCTAATGAGTGATGAGCACTGAATGCAAAATCGTTGGTGAACTCAATATGTTGGGTGTTTTTAGTTTTCAATTGGTGAAAAGTTAGTTTGTTAAAAATTTATTTAATAAAAGTCAATTATTATAATAAAATTTGTGTTTAGATATGTTTTTTTTAAAAGTCGATTTGGTAAATTAAAAATTTTTTAAATTATGATAGTGAAATATATTTTTTAATTACTTTGGACTGGTTCATTGTGCAACTTCAGCTGATCTATGAAGAGAGGCAAAAACACTCGCTGGCTCACAATCATGTACTCGCATCACTCTTCTTCGCATTAAGCTACAACGAACAAGGAAAGGATTAATGAAGATAGATGATTACCTTATCAAAATGAAAAATATCTCAGACAATCTCACACTAGTCCATAATCCTATTGCTACTTTTGACTTAATCTCACACATCCTTGCAGGTTTAGATGCCGACTACAACCCCATAGTCTATAATCTTCTGGATAAACTAGATTTGTCTTGGATTGAGTTACAAGCCTTACTTCCTGCCTTTGACACTCACATTAAACAAATTCAATCCTTGAGTAGTTCAACCTCAATGCACATTCATTTAATCTTACTACCCATACACGGTCTCAGCACAATAGCAATCAAGGATAAGGAAACTCTCATAACTCTCATGGTCGTAGTCAAAGTTTCCAAGGACGTAGACGTTCTGGTACAGGTAGAGGATCAAGCAAAACCCCTTACTATGGCCCTTGCCATTAAGAAAGTCATTGGGTGAAAGATTGTCCTTGACATTTCGATCGCTCGTATAATGGTCCCACACCAAGTTCTAAAGGTCAGTACCACACTCCCCATCACTTTGCCTATATAGCAACACTTAACACAGTTGATGATCCAAGCTGGTACTTCGACATTGGTGCCACCACTCATGTCACTAATGATATAGCTCAACTTGATGATGCAACTGATTATACTGGTAAGATTGGTTTATTTATTGGTGATGGATATCCATTTAAGATTGAGCATATTGGAAATAATAAATTGCCTACTAGTGATGGTCATAATTTTCTTCTTAAAGACGTATTGCATAACCCTGCTACTGGTAAAACCTTGATTAGTGTTGGAAAAATGGCTGATGATAATGATGTTTATACTGAATTTCACCTTAAGTTTTATTGTGTGAAAGACAAGAAGATAGGAGCAATCATTCATAAAGGGACACATGAGACGAATGGCATGTATATAGCTAATAATAGAGCTCTTATTTCTCAGCATTTACTAATTTGTTATTCAGTTTCTTATAAGAATAAGCTATCAAGTGATGATCTTGAAGTATGGAAGGACATCCTTCATTTAATGTTTTGCTCAAATTTTGCATTCATGTAATTTTAAAGTTTAATAATAAGTCTTTTTTTTTTTTGTGAAGCCTACAAATTTAGAAAAATGCATAATCTTCCATTTGACAAGTCACATTCTCATTCACAAAATCCACTTGAATTAATCCACACGAATGTTTGGGGGCCTGCTTCTATAGTTTCACTTAATGGCTTCAAATATTATGTGCATTTTGTTCACGACTACAGTAAGTACACTTGGATACATCTTCTTAAGTGCAAAAGTGAAGCCAAAACATCATTTCTTTAGTACAAACAATTAGTTGAAAATTCATTTGATAAGAAAATTAAAGAGTTGCAAAGTGATGGTGAAGGGGAATTTTAAGGTCTCACACCTCTTCTAGTTAAATATGGCATTCAACATCGCCTATTGTGTCCATATATGTCTTCACAAAATAGGAGAATTGAGCAT